TGGTTATATTACGCCGTAAATATTAATGAACTTTTAAATGCTGAAAACGCTAGTTCTTAAACCTTGTTACTCAAAAATGCAGCTGTGGTTCACGTTCTTTGACGTTTCTCCGAGTGGTGAATTTATATTTTTCTTAGAAATTGCGAGGAGAGCAGGTAATATTGGAAACAAATACTTTTCTTATATTTTTAATAGATAATTGCTATTTATTTTCAAATATTCAGATATCCCGCTTGTAGCCAGAGGCAATGGCATGTGAGGCTCACTAAAATCTACTCATCTCGTTGGAGCAGCTCCGGGTAATGGACCGTTGAATGTGCTGGATGAACTTATGTCCACCATAAACAAAGGAGTCTCCAAGCAAATGCATGTCCTGAATTTATACGGTAGCAACTCATATCAATTAGTTGTATATGTGTATTTCGGTAAAATGATTTATATTAAGTATTTTTGAGGAGCTCCGGGTAATGGCCGCTCAAACTTGGTTGTGCCTTGAACTGCTTGTACAGGTCAGTGAAAGATTCACAATGAGGATTTTGTGTGAGTTATAAGATATTATTTTTCAACAGGTGTTCCAAGGTTTGGAAGTAAGGTGAAGTGTTCGAATGAATTGTGGAAGTCGTTGTATACTTGGGTTAGTCAAAATACCTGCGCAATGGGTTCTAGCATAGAGATTTGCTCCAGCAACACGAGACCGCTGCACCCACGGCAAAGTAGCACTGGGTGCATTCCAAAACGTCAAAATACAAAGCATCAGTCTTTTATTTCTAAGCCGCAGTTAAAAGAAATCCAACTTGCGCAAACTAGTTGAAAACTAGCAGCTAACCGTGGTTGCGCCCATTTGGCACTACAATCTGCTGACGTTTGATGAAGATATTTTTAAGCGCGTGTGTGTGTATTGAAAACTAAAAACTAAAAGGTTTGGGAAATATGTGATATCGTTAATTTACTGTAATATTTTGATAATCCAGAAATTTATTTAAATGTGCAGAAATTCACGCTGCCTCTTCCTTTATGTAAAAAATTTCATAGCTGTATTGATTACCAGCATCTCAGTAGAACAAAATAGGTATTATTTTTTACAATGGGAGTATTAAAGTAGCTTAAGTGACTTTCAGTTTGACTTTAAATCAAAAAATAATCAGTTACAATCGAAATTTTTTTATTTTTCTTATTAATCTTCTATTGGAAGTGCATTTTGAACGGCGCCTATGGCTAGTTAAACATTGGAAAATTGTTTGGGAACCCAATGAAATGTTGCTTTAAATGGAAAAGCTCCTATATGGACTAAGGTTAGTTTAATTTAACGTCACAGATATGCAAATTCAAAACATTAAAGCCGTAAAGCCGGATTGAAGTAAATCAGCGATTTTTTATTATATTCAATGCGGTATATATTTAGCGATATTGCATTTTCCCCACCACCCAGGTATGCAATCAGGCGCGTTACCGATTTTTTTTTAGGTGTTCGGTTCCCCCAGAGGCATATTTTCACCTATATAACTTAAACTAATAGTACAACAAAAATTAAAATAATTCATGTTTTTTTTTAATTTTGTACTTTAACTCAAAATTATAAAAAACTACAAAAAGCAAAACGATACATTTAACTCAAAATTATAAAAATGAACATAAAAAGCAAAACTATTCATATAAAACAAAAAAATATTGCACTGCAAAAATTAGAAATTAAATATATAACTTAAACTTATATTAAAAATTAAAATAATTCATGTTTTTTTAATTATGTACATTTAACTGAAATTGGTAAAAAATAACATAAAAAGCAAACCAATTCATGCAAAACAAAAAATATTGCACAGCAAAAATTAAAATTATGTTTTCAAAAATAGTGTTTATGTACATATGGTTTTATAGAATAGGTTTTTGAAAGCACCCACAGTAGAGACCCTATAAGCTTTGAATTAATATAAGAAAAGGGATCTTGAAAAAATACCCGAAACTGTATTGCGAAAATAGCAAAATTATCTGAATAAAGGACGAATAAACGAATTTAATATCTAATTTATTTCCGAAAAACTGGGACATGATTTACCTATGTGAAACACATAAAATTTTAATATTTTTAAAATGAGGCGAACTTAGGTCCCTATTAAAAATTCTTAAAGAAAAATAAATTCGAATTCTTATAAATATAATAAGAATGTTGGGATCGCAGTTGATACAACAATTAAAAGATTCTACTCCTTCCATCTTATCAAATATAGCTTTAGAAAACCCGATTAGATGGCAGCAAGAATCAAAATTTTCGCTTAAAATTTGTTCAAGTTTTTCCATAAACTCAATGAAGGCCAGAGGAGCTTTGACTAAATTAGATTTATCATACACTTTTTCTTTTGTGAAAATAAAATTATCTTCGGGTATTTCATCCTCTTGGAAAGTCGGTAAAGGCTGCAGACATTTGTGTAGTTTAAAGAACTCAAAATATATATAACCGCAAAAATATGAAAAAGCATTTCTTTGGAGGAAATCACTTTCCACGACATCAACTTCAAGACTATTTCTGATATTTTGATATCCGTCTGGCAGAAGCCGGGGCAAACCTTGGAAAGTTTGCCAAGAAGGATCCCGAACCAAAGGATCATTGCAGACTCTTTCTAAAGTATTATATGAAAACGACTCCCACTCAGCGCTAGGCAATGGCTCACATTTACCACTAGTAACAAACTTCACATCCCTAAGGCCCCAGGATTGTCGGAAAAGGTCCGGGAACATGGATGGAGTAGTTCTAGGGTTCAATCCTCCCCCTCTTCTAATCTGTCCAAAATAGTGTTCAAGTTCGTCTTGACAAAGTTTTCTGGTTCGTATGTATTGCAATCCCTTATTTGACAATGAATGCCACAAACGTTTTAAACTTTGAATATTTTGAAGCCAGCCTCTTATGAAAGAAAAACTATTCGTTATATCCCGACCAAATATATCGTGAACTGTAATTGAGGAAGTGTTTGTTGGGCTTCCCGTAAGAAATTTATTTGCTCCGTGCTTCCTGTAAATGGCTGACCGTGCTTGCGTAGGGCTCCGACTGTATTGCTATTAAAAATATTGAAAAGTTGGTCGAAGAAAAGGGCAAATTCGGCAGTATTTAGGAAACTTTGAGACAGAACTATTGAGATTCTCGGAACTGTAAAGAGAAAGCATTGCACTAGCAACTGTATTACTCAGAACTTGTGCAGCTAAATGGACACTCATCTTTTGAAAAGATGTGGGCCTAAGATGTGCCGATGTCAACTTAGGTGCGCATCGTATTTCGCGAAGGGAATCCTGTTCATAGAGATGGGCGAAGTCTGCCCACTGAACTGGTTGTCCTCGAAAACTTACTTTATTTTTGCTACTTTGAATGCAGTTTCGCGAGCTTTTTGAAAGATGGGGAGAGTCATAAAAAAAGGCGATTTCCTGTTCATTAACCTCGAAATAGGGTCTTTCTTCGGTTACTCCTGCTACTCGAGCAAAGTTAATGAAGTTGGACCCTTGCTCACAAACAAAATGACAGGGATAAAGACCAATATCCTGGAGTTGCGAGATAACTTCAAAAACATATTTTTTTACAATATCTCCTTTGCACGAATTGTGCACAAAGAAGTATGCTATGGGCTGAGACCAAGAGTTTCCGCCTATGCCTTGAACCATCATAGCTAGAACACTGTTGGCTATTCTGGAGGTGCGATTTTCATCTCCGAAGTCCTCCAACCCTATTATTAAGTCCCTACACCTATCATATTTCAAATTGGTCTTCAAAGCCATTTCATCACAACACAACGAAACATATTTCTGTTCTGTTGTGAAGCCACGGCTTCTCAACTCTAGGGACTTAATGCTGCTGTATGAGCAACCGGGATTACGTGGCCAACATTTAATAAATTTGGACAAGGTAGTTGTAGAAGGCCAATGAAACAGGGGCCTTAAATACCTATATGCTAAGGGTGAAGTGAACTGAACTCCTAGGGCTATAGTTTTAATGCTCCTATCAAACCTCCTTCCAGAAGGATGACGGCCATTATTTGAGAGACAACTTCTCACACATATAGCGACATGTGGGGGTAAACTGCTACAAATCTCTTTAATTTGCGCGCTATTTCCCTGCTCTTGATTAGAAGAACTTTGTTCTTTCAAAAGTTCAATTTCCCGCTCTTTATCTAACAGTTTTTGTTTGAGTTCATGAATTTCTTCATTAGCTCTCTCTAATAATTCTTGATATTGATATTCTCCGGGGAACCCTTCACTTAAAACTTGGTAATTTTGCGTATTTTCATTACAGTTTTCTAAAGGGGAAGGCTAACCTGTTCTTCTATAGAAGTGGGTTGAAGAGCTCCCTCCAAGTCACTCTCCATTTCAATCAATTCGTTGATTGAAATGCAGGTACCTTCTTCAATGGGTTTAAAATCTTCAACCCCTAAATGAATAATGTCATGTAGTGTAGGTTCTTCTACTAAACTACCAAAAGGCTCTACTGTGGGTGCACACAAATTGATATCAGGTACATCCCCCTTTGATAACCGTAACTTGTTGCGCAGTCGAGTCGAAAAATGCCTCTGGCAAGCGTAGAGATGCTTTATTGGTATTTCTGACGCCCAAGCGCCTAACCCATTCCATTCGCCTATTAAAAGTTCAAAAATATTAGAAAATAAAAACTAAAACAGTGAAAATATATTAAAATACTAAAAATTTGGCCAAAGTATGTGTATAAGAATGATGGAATTCACGCATAAAAATATAAATTTTGTATGCACATTTGTATATTAAGCTAATCTGTGAAACCCTCGCAAATATACACATGCTATTGAGGTTGCAGGTTTTATAAAAAAAGCAAATGCATTAAAAAAACCATCAACCGTTCACAAAAAAATAAAATAAAATAAAAACATAACGTATGAAAATAAAACAAAAAATTATCAGGAAATAATATTTTGGAATACATGAAAGATTTTCCCGAAACGTTAAAATAAAGAATAAAAAAGAAATAAAAAGAAAACGTTAAAATATCTGAATCGTCATGAAACGTTTATTACATATATTAATATAAACAACATTTTCTTACAAGATATTGAAGATAATCATACCATCCCGGTAATAAGGTTAACTAGTTGTAAATAATTTTTTGTTCAGGTTAATTGATTGTCATCAACTGAATAAAAATAAAACTACACAACTAGATAAACGAAAATCAGGCAGATGTGAATAACTAAATTCTATTTATTGAAAAAATTTGCTTAAACACGCGCCGTTCCCGTCCGAAAGCCCGAAAGCCTGTCGATGGATAAAAGAATAAACAGAAAAAAAATCATCAGATTTTATATACATATGTAAATTGTAATAATTTGAGAATGGTAATTAATGGTGATTATCAAGGCACATAAATACCATGTACCATGGGTGATTATTTATCTTGTTCTCAATGAGCGAAAGCAGGAGCCAATTCTCATTTTGTGTAATGGTGAAGTGAAAATGAAGATTTCAACTGAGTGAAAACTATACTTTTTCAATTTGGCGTTTTAAATGATTCTCGATAATTAAAGACTTTTCCATATTACTCTTTACCAAGTCATTCTAAACAAAAAATCTACATTTTCTTTTCGCAACAACAAAAGATTTGATTTGATGAAACATATTTTTACTTCACGCTTTCACAGGACCAGAATTGATTCTCTGATATGCATATCAACATCTGAGGTTCAGGAAGACTGAGGTAGGGTTGTTCGACTTCACTAGAAAGTCGACTTTCGACTTTTCGATCGACTCTGTATAGTCGACTTTAAAAGTCGACCGATCCACGAAGAAAAGTCGACTTTGTTCGACTTTTTTAATAAAAATAAAATGTATTAATTATACTCTGCATTTAACTCATATATTAGCTATAAATATAAGAGTCAGAATACGCCAAAAATATCATGATTTACTAGTGGTCTTTAGAATAATCTGTAATTTAGTGAAATTCAATGCTAGGTAAAAAAACAGACACTAAAGGATTTTTAAAAATTTTGAAAATTGTTCCAGTTATAAAGCATGAAAATGTTGGTTGTGAGGGTTTTTAAAAATTATATTTATATATAATTAAAAAAAAAAAATTCTAAAAATTTTTTTAATCGATATTTGGTAATTACGGACAACTTTTTGAAAAATGTGGCCTTTCCGATGGAGCAGAATTGGAGACTATCCACATGACTAATGTCGCATATTAACTGGAATCCTACCAGCAACATTTTTAGCGGTGTTTAAAATGTTGTCAAATTCGAACCAAAAACTGTCTGTAGAAACTTACATAAACTCATGCTGAAAAACTTCTTGCATGAAATTTTTGAAATAAATACCTATGTTTATCTTACCTCATTATTAACTGAAGATTGTGGAGACAAACGATTAACAAATTTGAAGTATTTGTTTTCGTATAGTAATTTTATGCGCTGCTCTTAAACGATTTGACAATGTTGTTGTACTGTCATTAAAATTCATTTCTCTACCACACTTTTCAGTTTTATTGGCAATTTTTTTTAAATACGACCAAACAGCACTCCGCGCCCTTATTAGAAGATCAGTTTTTATATCCAAATAAATTTAAAAAAAAGTCGAGAGTCGAAAATCGAAAGTGAAAAGTCGACTTCAGTCGACTTCCATAAACTGAAAGTCGATCACTAAAATTCGACTTTCAGGAGTAAAAAGTCGAAGTCGACTTTGCCATCCCTAGACTGAGGGCCAGTTTTTCAGTGCACGGCTGTGGTTTAAACTTAGTTTAAACGCTCGAGCTGACTAAATAAGATTATCAAATCAAACGTCAGCAAGCTGTTCAATTTGAACTCAGTTTACGTGATCTAAGTTTAAACTGGCAATGAAAAACTGGCCCTAAAACTTCTGATACCTGCATAAACAGCACATCGCGTTCGCTCGTATAAGTTTGAATTATGTACGTGAGTCATAGTCCAAAGTTATTTAGCTAAGCTAGTTCAGTTAAAAACTTTAACTTTTACAATCTTCATGAATCATGATGTACAAATAAACAAACAATAAAAACCACAATAAGGCGGTCCGTTCTTAAATTTGTACACCATTTTGCACGCGTTTTTTATTTGGCGTACATGTTGTATTATGTGCCAACGCATTTAAATAATGAATTAAATCCTTAATCACTTCAAAAGTTTTACCTGGATATTTCTCTATCCGAAGGAAATTTGTAAAGAGAAGCTCCCTCGGAGGTGCACTTGCAAACACATTGCCTCGGCATATTTCTGCAAAAATAAAAGAAGTAATACTTGAAAACTGCTGCCCTTGTAACTAAACACACTTTTCGTTTTTACTTTTGGAATAAAAACTTAAATATATTCGGAAACTTACAATTTTAATTGATAAATTCACAAAATAACACAAAACCTACTGTTTAACTCCAGTCATTAAAAAACGTTTCGAAGGTCCGACAAGGATCGAATCGCGGAGGCGAGTAGGGATCTCGCCCTTTCCTTTTGATAGCGCGCCGTCTCGATGCCTCGGTTTGTATGTCGGAAGCCAACACTTCGTTTACGAGAAGGAGTTCGGGCGAACCGTATGGAGCGTCGCTGTGCTGATGTGTTCCGGTCTTGTGTCGACCGCTGTGGCGTACGACTCTTTTTCGTGTTCAAGGGGGTTCGGCTTCTACTAGCACGCCGAGATTGGCGGTTCAGTTGGGTACGTCTCTTGCTCTCCTACTGCGGGGTGCGGCTTCGACTCGTCCGTCGCGGAGTCTGGTATCTGCTTCCGCGCCGCGGGGAGCGGCTTCTGCTTACTCGCCGCGGGGTGCGGCTTTTGCTCAGGCGCCGCAAGGAGCGGCTTCTACTTTCACGCCGTTGTCGGGAATGAGAGTGCGAAGATCGGGCATGGGAATGCCTAATGGTCCGCGAGGTGGCCTGGTCGTAATCACGACGTCTGGCTTGTGTAGCTCGGGTCTGTCGATAACTGGGCTGACCTTCCTCGACGTGCAGCATGGTGTGATGGGCGAGACCGCATCTTTGGCAGCTATGCCGCGAGTCACAGCAGCCGGTGATGTGGGACCGGGCCAAACAATTGCGACAGTAGCCATGTGCGCGTACCACGTCGTCGCGTTGCCCGGGATTCATAGCCTTGAATCCTTTGCAAAACCGCAGTGCGTGTTGGCGATGGCAGATCTGACAGCGGATGACCTCGGCGTCGGACATGTTAACTGTAAATAGAAAGGGCTTTAGTGTTGGTATATGATGAGTTGAAAGCAAAGTGATTGTATAGGGATAATAAAGGGATTTATTAGTTACGAGGACGGCAAAACACACAACTTCACAATCGGACGTGTAAGTACGCCCGACTGCGTGCGGACATCTGCGACCCGGACATAGCTATCGGGTCCGCGATGAATTTTAATGATGCGTCCTAACCGCCATTCGTGCGGGGGTAGCAGCTCGTCCTTGATAACCACCATTTGACCTTCTTCGATCTCCTTCTGCGGATGTTGCCATTTATAGCGCTTGTGGAGCTCCTTAATATATTCATCCTTCCATCTACGGCTAAACTGATGATGCAAAGCCTTCAGCTTTTCCCAGCGGTTGACCAGTGAGATGTTTTCCGCGTCGGGTTCGGGAATCGCCGTGAGTGGAGCGCCTCTCAGAAAGTGACCTGGGGTGAGAGCTAAAATATCATTAGGATCATGTGATAGGGGAGATAAAGGTCGGGAATTCAGAACTGCCTCAATACGGGTTAGAAGCGTGGAGAACTCTTCGAAATTGAATTTATGGTTGCCAGCTATCTTTTTCAAATGGGTTTTGAAGCTTTTGACAGCTGACTCCCAAAGGCCGCCCATATGGGGGGCACCTGGGGGGATGAATACCCAGTCAACTCCTTGCGGGGAATAATTTGATAGAATGTCCTTGGAAACTTCTTTCGAAAACTCCAGAAATTCTCTGCTGAGCGCTCGGTGTGCTCCAACGAAGGTTGTCGGACATAATCTTACGAGGCAGACCCCTTCGGCCGACGAATCTTGCGAAAGCTGCGCGAAATGCTTCTGTTGTGAGATTAGAGCACAATTCTAGATGCACAGCCAGAAGCAAACAAAAGCCGCGACATAACCTTTGAGAAAGGTTGCCGTTCTGAGCTGAGACGCTTTAATCTGAAATGGACCAGCGAAGTCTACACCAGTTGTCGAGAAAGGGGTGGACAAACTACAGCGTTCTGGGGGAAGCGCAGCCATGATTTGAGACTGAGCCCGCTGTTTATGAAGCGCACAGACCTTGCAGAGGTGGATACATTTCTTAATCTGCGGCTTCAGCCGGGGAATGTAAAACTCTTGGCGGGCCATGCGAAACATTAGCCTTTGTTCTGCATGCAGAAGTAGTTTGTGGAGGAAAGTCAGATACAAGCAACAAAATCGAGACTTTTCGGGCACAATTACGGGGTGGCGTTCATTATAACTGAGCCCGGATTGGGATAATCGTCCGTTTACCCTCAAGAGACCTTCTTTATCGAGAGAAGGGTTGAGAGTTAAGAGAGAGCTTTTCTTTGACAAGGGCTTTCTCGCGGATAGTGCGCTTACTCCCTGTGGGTAATATCGTGATTGTGCCAACGGAAGGAGCCTCGTTTTGATAAACTGAATTTCGACCTGAGAGAGGGAATTTGTTGAGATACAGGGAGTATTTCTTCTTTTCGCGGGCCCATGGTTGAGGAACCGAAATACGTAAGCAAGCACGCGCAACGCACGGGGAAAAGATGAAAACCGTTCGAGCACATCGGCTGGCTCTTCT